TTGAAAGAAAAGTCACTAGCTGTATCCAAGAGCGATTAAAAACCGATGAATAATTTCTTTCAAAAATACAACATTTTTTATTTATATTATTGTATATTTGCATAAGTTATTTATGTTTGAAACTTGCATAAAATAAAAGTTTTTTTTAAATTTTAACTTCTTCCTAAAACTTATGTTCACATGCATATACTTGATCGATATGATTTTATTAAATCATAATATCCATATATTATTCAAAAAAAAAAAAAAACAGTCGCAAATTATTGCTTTTAACACTATTATAGGAATTTAATATTGTAAAAACATAATTATTACAACGGTTCTTGATGATAAGACTTAATGGTCTTCTGCATGTTTCCCGCGTTTTTATTTATCTTTGTATAACTAACTCTTATTATTTTGTCTTTGATTTTTTATATTTATAACTGGTTTATTTTTGAAAGAGTATCAGGTATTATATTACGGAATTTAATTGTAACAAAAACGGAAAATTAAAAAAAAATAAAATAAAATAAAGTTATATAAACCAACTTTAAAGCTCCCAAAATATACCTTTTTTATGCTATCATTAATGTTTAAAAGACGTTTAAAAGACATTTAAAATACATTTAGATCGTAACTTTTAAAAACAAATGCCCGTCGGGTAGATGAAAATACTTGAAAAAATGCATATTTTGGTAAATTTAAAATTTAAAACGCAATTAAATCATTATATTTATAGTATATTTTGAACATCGTTTAATAGTTCTAAAAAAATCAGCTGCAAATAGTTAAAACAAAGGAACTAATATTCATTGCAAACCATACCGTATTGACACTATATTTGTGTTGTTTTTATACCAAATTTTTAATCATATCGTTATTCAGTAATGTACGCATACTTTTTATATACCTTTGTTATTCCGTTATGTGCGTATACTTTTTAAATTATGGTTTTTAATTTAATGTATTGACTTATATATCTTTAGACTGATTATTAAATTGAAAGATTTTGGGTGACCACTGCCACCGCCAGTAGCTTCTGCCTCTTAAATTGGTTGGCCTTTATGCAGAATGTTACTTTGATAAAAAAATGAAAACTTTATGTAGCTTTTATGTTATGTCGTATTAAAACTAAAAACTGTGAAAAGGTTTATCTTCCTATTGGGTATCTATATTTAGTTTTTAATACTTCGTCAATGATAATATTAAAAAGCTTAATGTTGTAATCACGTATGTAAATCAGTGTAAACCATTGACGTTTAATGTTATCATTGACTGATCAGAAATACGCAGATTGCAGAAGAGTTGCAGAAGAGTTTTTTTTAGTTGGAGTGCGAATATTCTTGGATATGAACACAATATTGAAGTTATATGAGTTTCATAATATCGCTTGAATCCCAGTTGTTTTTTTATCCCGGTTAGGCGGGATGATTATTATCCATGTGAACACACATATAATGTCATCACGTTTAACACGCAAACTATCGTACGATAACAAAGCTATATTAATAATTAAGTTATTTTATCAAAACAATTTTCAACTTATAGTCGGTAAAATTAAGTTATTATCCTAAAACATTAGCTGTAAAACATTGATTCATTATGAAGCGTGTACACGAAATAAATGTGAAAGAACAAATGCGCCATTTTTTTCAGTGGCTGTATTAATATATTTTTAATTTTATTTTTATTTTGTTTGCAACATGTTGCTGTTTCAAAAAAAATATTTTATTTTTCCCATTAAACTTAAAAAAGTTTTAGAAATGACAAAAGAAGAAGATATTAGAGAAAAAATTATGCACAAATATTTAGAAAATATGAATATAAGGTACAATTCAATAGCAAAAAAATTGCAAGTCTATCCCTACACCATTAGTCATTTTATTCAACGTTTTTCCCAAACAAAGGTGATCAAACGCAAATCTGGTGGTGGAAGAAAGAAAAGTTTTCAAGATATAAAACTGGTTAGAAAACTTCTTTACAGTTTGAAAATTAACTTAAGCCTCTCATTTAGAGAACGCGTGAAAAGATGCAAATTTTCGCATAGTTTTGTTGCAAAAGTTCAAAATAAACATGGTCAACATTTTTTCAAATCACAAAAAGTACTCAATCATTCTTAAACTCACATATTAGACATGTGTTCTAGCCTGATTTAGCTTGAAGTCATTATAGTAAACGTAAATGTAAAAATGAAAGTTATTGAAAAGTACTGGGCAATTTTGAAAAAAACTAGAAAAAAACAAAAAAACTATTTAGAAACGCCTAAGATTTGAAAATTTCATTTAAAAGATTTGAAAATCTCATCAAATAGTTTTGATTGTTACTCTGTGCGCAAGTTTATGGGTACCGCCAAAGCAAAAGTTGGAAATTTTATTAGATGTCTACTGAAATAAATAATTTTTTTTGAAATATTTTACTTTATTATATTAATTTATTAAAATAGTTATTTAGTTCTAAATAAAAATTATTAAGTACCTTTTTTTAGATGTTTTTCTACTTTCACATTTATTTTGTATACACGCTTTATGTTCCGAAAGTTCATTATTTTTGCAAGATTCCATCAATTTTACAATTTTTTTTTTTTTTGACTTTAAAATAGATAAAAGTAAAGTATAGATATTGTTGCAATTTTCTTTTATAAAAAACATTCTGTAAACTTATTCTTTTAAGTTAGGACCGGAAAAAAGGTGACGTGAATGACGTAGTCGCGCTGGAAAGGGCCCCGCATTTAAAACGAAACCCTTTTCAGGCCGCGTGCTAAAAAGAAAAGGGCTTTTGTTTTTAACAAATAAAAATTATAATTTTTAAATTTTTCAAAGCAATATTTTGGGGTTTTTAGGAAGGTTTCAAAATATATCAAAAAAGAAGAACCAAAAAAACTTGCAGAAGATTTAGAAATTTAGAAATTGCTTCGACAAGTTCGAAGATTATACAAACAGTTTATACAATTATACAATTGTCTAATAATATTGTGAAGCTGGAAGCAGGCTTAATATTTTACTTGAAAAAATAGAGGCACTAAAATTTCTTTTTTTATCCAGAATATTCTCGAAAATTATTTAAAATGCTACAATATTTATCTGCAACATAATGACAGAGCAACGGCATTTTCAAACCTATTTGCTACCCTTTGCATATATTCATCAACTCCAGTTGCTTCTGAAGAGAGATCATTTTTTAGATTAAAACTAATAAAAAAATATCAACTATGATCAACTATAACTCAGGGTAGATTAAACAGTTTAGCGGTTATGTTGATTTAAAGTTAACAAGCAAGACAGTTGGATTTGCAAACTACTTTACAAAATTTTTCTGAGAAAAACTTAGAAACATGTAGAATATTTCTAATGTTTATGTAGATTTATATTTAATAAAAATTTAATTCATTCTTTAACTTATATATTGTCTTTGTGACAAAAATCATAAATCATGTTTTTTTATTTAATAGAATATTGTGACATTGAGTATATATATTTAATAATAAACGCAATTTTAACCTCGTACATTAGTATTCTTCACCCCCTCTCTTTTTTTTAGGTTTCTACTTTAGAGCCCCGCAAACAAAACTTGCGTCGGGCCTCGCACATGCATGTCCGGCACTGTTTTGAGTGATCTATTTTAAAACATTCGCTGATGAATAAAGACTATTTTCACAAAGTGAGAATTCTTATAACGTTTCTTTACGTTTTATTTAAGAGCTAACTTCACATTTTAATTATCTACTCGTACTTTTTGCTTAAGCAATAAGTGTTAAATAAAAATACATTGAAGAGATAACTAGGTAAATTTTATAGCGACTAATTGTCTTTTTTAAACAATCATAATACGATACCAAATGATAAGCCTGATCTACCGCTGACATACCTTTATTGTAATCTTAAATAATCTTGGGTTTTATTTTCTTAAAACTTTTTTTCGTCACTTTAAACTCTTATCTTTAACAAATGCAAGTTACTAATCATTATTATGTGTTTTTTATCTTCCCATTTACAACCATTACACCTTCCTTGTTTCTGCTTATAACCAGAAATTAGCTCCAAATATTGTCAACATTATTTTATGGAATTAAATGTTATATATACAGGGCCAGCGCAAGTAGGTGTCACGTTGGGGGGGGGGGGTGCCATTACAACTTTTGCCGACTAAAAAAAAAAATTCTAGTCTAAAGGCTCCAATTTGCCGACTAAGGGTCCAATTTACCGACTAAAAATCATTGATGGGGTGTGTCACACCCTCGCACCCCTTATCGCGCTAGCCTTGTATATACATCATAGAGTGAAAATTCGGGAAAAAATGGGTTCGTTCATTAATTACGTTACACAATTTTTGAAAATTGCGTGACGTAATTAATGGACGTAACAAAATTGTTACACTTTAGTACCAAGAACCGTGCGAGTCGTCACAAAAACACTACTTCCCCCCGCCTCCCTCCTTCTCTAAAGCGTGAAGTAATTTATGGACGACCCCTATATTGTTTTTTACCACCTGTAAAAAATTAGTAACATTAAAAAGTTTTTAAAAAATGTATATTTGAAAAATTTAGTTTGTGAACAAAAAAAATCATAAACATTTAAATTTTCTGATTTTAAAATATGAAATTTATTCCTAATATTCAATAGTATCTTTTAAAAACTAACATATTTTCTTAGAATTTCTTGAAACTTTGTTTATAATTCTTACTAAAAATTATTGTCCGGGTAAATCTTAAAATCTTCTTAATTGCACCTCTAAAAATGTTTATGTGTATTATTATTTTAAATATTTTAGTGCTTTTTAATGAGTATTCATGTTTCCATTACTCAATAATTTATGATCTTAATTGCAATTTGCTGAAAACTCTATCATCAAAAAATTATCTTTAATAAAGTAAATATAAAAACCGGGTTTTCAGCTGTTAATATTGTTTGTTAATACGTTATTAACTGTTAACATTATTTTTTATTACTTTATTATTATGTAAAAGTTTATAATTTGTTTAAAATTCCTTTTTTTTTAGTTTATACTTTATTGGACTTTAGAACTTCGCTCACACTCTCTCTGCTTTTAAGAGACTCATTCTAAAAAACCTTTTGTTGATTATTAAATTCACGGGAGTCAAATTTTTTTCCTGGAATAGCAGGTATCACAAATATTTTTTTTGTGTTGTGTTTTTGTTCATAGATTGTAGTTTTAAAAGACTTTGGATAAAGCATTTTCTTGTTTTAAATAAGTAAAACACAGCATTGAAACAAGTTAACATACTTCATAGTATGTTATATACTTCATACTTTATATAATGTTATTCATACTTCATAGTATGTTGTTCATAGTATTGCTTTGACATAGATAAAACGACATGTGTTTGTGATGCTAATTTATGTTATTTTATCAATGTCGTATCATCGTCAGCAAAAATACTTTCTGGATGATAAGGATGAGTACATGTTTTTAAAGGACTTCATGCAACACCAAACTTATACCGGTGAAAAGTACATATCTGTGTTCGTTATTTTTATTTGAGCCAGTTTGTGGAAAGTTCTATGGCTAAACAATATTATTTTTGAATTGAATAACAGAACATTTTTTAAAACAGTTACTACCCGGTAGGAAATGAGGTAGCGACTAGCTAGCTCTATTGCGATTTTCCAGCAATTTTTTTTTTCTTATTTTATTTTTTGCAAATATCTTTAACATCTTTAAAAATTCGATTTTTAGTGTTGAGTCTATTATAACTATGAAAATAATTGAACTTTAAACATTGCGATTTTGTAGCAATGTGTCGCTAGCTACATATCGTAGCTTTGTAGCTAGCTACAAAATATCTACAAATCTATAGCTGGTTGATAGCTAGATATCAAAATTTTTTAGACAACGATTTTATTACAATAATACGCTAGGTACAATAGCCAGTGGATCTTCAGTTTGTTAAGCTAGCTGTCTTCGTAGCCAAATCGCTGTCTTTATCTTTAAAAATATCGATAGTTTTTCGCTAATTTAAAAAAGCTAGCGATCCTCGTGGCCAAATTGCTGTCTTTATCGTAACGATTATAGCTAGCTATTCGTTAGCCGATTTCCCACCGGGTAGGTGTTACATTGAAATCATTGTTTATAATTTGATTCTTACTATTCATAAAAAATTTTCACAAGTATAAAATATATTGTTGTTATTATTATTATTGAACTTTGCAGGAGTGGAATTTTTTTGATTAATTTTTTATGAAGCAATTTAGTTGCTTAACGTAACCTCCCTATATATGGATGTTATGCAGGTATTATATTTATGAAGTGTATATGTCTTACTTTATAAAAGCTCTTCTAGGAAAAGCAAAGGGTGATAAGTATATAAAATTCTCTTAAGATACAGTTTAAAAAAGTCAGAAAAAAGTTTACACTAAATGATTGTGAATGCACCATTGCAAACGATGCCCTTTATTATTTTACCAAAGCTTTCCTTAAAAATACCTTTGCAAGAGTTGATTAGGACTTCTTGGCATGTGTTAGGGATTAAAAATTATGAAGTAAAAGACGAAAAGATAAAAATGATTAAAAACTTTTCTGGTCATATGATTAAAAAAGTTTCTGGTCATAAACTTCAGAGATCCTAAAAATACTTTAATTCTCGATTCTGAAACATCACGTTCTTTTCTGGTTGGTGGAGAACTTGGGTATCTTTTTAAAATTATTGGTGTTTTAAAGAGCAAAATTAAACAACGGCTTTACAACAACGGCAACGGCAACGGCAACGGCAACGGCAACGGCAACGGCTTTACAGTCTTGGGTGAGTAATAACAGTTTTTTTGAAAATTTTATTTGTCATCTCCAAACTACGACTTCGCTGAAAGATACATAAAGCTAATACAAAACTATGTTAAAAGATCTATAAATGAAAACTAGTGCAAAAAAATAATGCTTGTTGCTAAAGGTTATTGAAAAAAGTGAAAAAATATAACACTCAATAACACTGAGAATGGATGTCAGTGTCATTGAGTGTTATTTTTGATGGAAATAAGAATATGAATTCTAAAAAACTTCTATTCTATTCTATTCACACTAACTATTCAATAAATTTATCATGCTCCATACAACTAGAATCGAAAATTATATATTTGGTGCTTAAGTCTAATCAGGTCTAAAGTTTTGTTTTGCTATGTATGCCGCAAATCATTGGTGTTAAGTGTCAATTAGCAACCAACAGTTATTTAAAGTTAAATACAAGGCTGTGGAGTCGGAGTCGCGACTCCGCGACTCCGACTCCAATAGTAAAACTTCTTGGTATTGCATATTACAAATTTTATATTCATATTAAACTTTCAAAGAACTTTTCATAAATTTGGCGAAAAAAAATTGTTTTTAGTTATTGCGTAATATTTTTTAAAGAATTCAAAGAGTTTTTCAAAAATTTTGCTTTGGAGTCGGAGTTGGAGTCGGAGTCGTACTCTGAAAATTTTAACGATTGGAGTCGGAGTTGGGGTTGTTATTTTTTTTACGACTCCACATCCTTTTTAATGGATTTTGACATTGCTATTGATGAGTTAAAAAATAGGTTTTCACTCTTTTTTGGCACTCCAAGGTTATTTTTTGTTATTTATTTTATTTATTAAGTTATTCATTTAAATATTTAAACGACCAAAAAAACAAATAAACACACAAATAAAACTTAAAAGCAAAAACTTGTGGAGAAGTTTGAGAAAAATGCAAAATAACTCAAGAATACAGACTTTCAAAGTTTTTTTTTAAAAGCATAATTAATAAAGTTTGAAATTATTTCAAAGCAAATAAGATAATCAGTAAATTAACTGCTCGTGATATTTTTAACTTTTAATTATTTTAAATTTATAGTCAAAATTAGAGATAAAATTAGAAGTTTTATAATATTAATTACTTATAATTAAACTTATTTTAATTACATTTTAATTACTTTATAAATAAACACAAATAATTTTATGAAATAATTATAAGAGTTCATCAGTTGTGAAAAAATTCTGATAATAATTTAAAATTGAAAAGAATTCTTTTTCAAAAAATGAAACGAATTTAAAAATTTTAAGAACTCAGAACTTAAAAAATGGCAAGAATTTTAAAATCAAAAAATGTTTTGAGGCTAAAACTCAAAACGGATATGAATTTAAAATCAAAAAAATGATTTTTTTATTTTTACAATTAAAACAAAAGCATCGATTGCTTTAAAAAAATGACCCCTGATTAAGAAATCTCCCAATAAAATGTTCACGAAATTAAAATGAGTAAGAGTTAAATTTATTCTCTGAAAATCAGTTGGAATATTTGATTGGTGCTGGATTTACTGCTTCACTTCACTAAAATAAGATTAAAATATTTTTGAAAAATATTTTTTTTAATATTTTATTAATTCATTTTCGTTTTTCTTTATTTTTACCAAAAAGCGTTATCTTAGTTATTCTGTTGAAATTATAAGTGCTTAACAATCCATGTATACCAAGAAGAGGTAGAAGACACATTTTCTCCTAATACAACCGTCTAAGCTAGTTTTAGTTTATTATTACAATCTTTAAATAATTGGAATTTTTTTCTTACGTTTTTGTTATTATTGTTATAAAAAAAATATTTTTTGCTCACAACAAACTTATTTAAGTATATTTTATTTGTTTATATATATATATATATATATATATATATATATATATATATATATATATATATATATATATATATATATATATATACATATATATATATATATATATATATATATGTATATATATATATATATATATATATATATATATATATATATATATATATATTTTATTTAAATTTTTTTTACATATATCCTTGACTTTTATAGTTTATATCTTGTAGCTTTAATTGTTTGGCTGTGATTTTTACTTGCTTTTAGTTTCATTCTTCAATGCATTGGAGTGAAAGGTTAAGTGAGACGTTCCGTAACTCTATTGTGTAAAGCTATAGAAAAACTTTAATAAAAATTTCGTAGTTTATAATCTTAAAAGTTTTGATTAATAATTTTTGTTAATATCTTTATGCAATTTTTAATACTAATTTATGTGCATTCATAAAATAAATTAATTTAAAAATTTGTAAGCAGATTTAGCAAAGAGATATAAAATAAAAGAATTTGAAAAAAAGAAAATTACATTTTGAATTTTCTTTACCTAAATAATTTAAAAAGCCTTAAAAAAGTCAAAACTAAAAAGGGATATAGAAATAACTCCAAATTTAACATTGCAAATATAGAACTTTTTATCGAATCTCAATGACCTTTAAATTTTAGATCGTGCCTTGAGTTTATAAATAAAGAGTGAAACTCGCATGTGTTAGAACAGCGATTCCCAACCTTTCCAATGCCGTGACCCCTTGAAATTATTTACCAAGCTGTGGCGACACAAAACATAAAATTAATAAGGTTGCTTCTAAATCACTGCATTTTTTTGTCGCTAAGCATTACGTTTTTTGATTTCTAATTATCTGATTTTGTTTATAAGCACCATATTTTTTGTTATAAACTTTTTTTATAATTAATTTATAATAATTTATATACAAAGCACTTTGTTACATGCTTTGTTTAATATTTGCAAAGAAATAAAGTTTTATGTGTTAACATTTTATAAAACTTCAACAATGCACACTTAAAATATTGTAAACTTAAAAATATTTTAAGTGCGCATTGTGCAGTGCACATTATACAATTAAGAATAACACACATTCGAAGTTATTACTTTTAAAGTTGAGGCTTTAAAATTATAAATAAGTACACTGAAACGACTGCAGTCAGAGTAACAGTATCGCTTAAATTTAAAATGATATAAAGGAACCACTGACTAGCGTAAACAAATTATTTTCAGAAGTTTTAATGGCGACCTCTGGCAAATTGTAAGACGATTCCTGTTGAGGTTGCGACGCACAGGCTGGAAACCGTCCAGCTAGCACACTTACGTTGGGCCAATGTATGTAAATATATTGCGAACGTCGGCTGTTTTCAATGATGCAAATACAACGTTGATCCGATGTTACTGGTATTAAAATTTTTTTACCAAATTTACATTGGTCCAACGTATGTAAAAACATCGCAAAAATTAAATGTTTTCCGATCTAAACCCAACACAGGTTCAATGTATAGGGATCAACGTTAATTCAATGTATATG